CGCTGCTGTTTTCTAACTCCTCATGTGAGGCCTCGGATGTAAAAAGAACCAAGCAACAACACCAAACGTCAATAAACCTCAAATCCTCGATGTTGTGATGCTGATACCTGGAAGGCTTATTCTTATGATGTGTTGGTGGTGGGACCATAGACAGATTGGTGTCCGTTTTGGGCAGCAATGACATTGTTCTCCTGTGTTATTGGTCTATTCTAGCATTCGGGGATAAATAGTTCCAATGCTGAAGTGCTGACACTGTACAATGTGACAGAGGCGGACGCTGGAGAATATATTTGTAAGGTCTCCAATTATATAGGGGAGGCCAACCAGTCTGCCTGGCTCTCTGTTCTGCCAAGTGTACAAGGTAACAACGTTTTTTAAAGCAAGCTGGATGTAGAAGCTGGAAAAATGGTGCTTTGGGAGACTGCAGGCAGCTTGTAGGATACTCTTTGGCCTTGTGGTATATGTATAATCCTCCTTCGGTGATGCAACTGGTATTACACCAGCAGCCATGGAAAAATTCCCACAATATTCTGTGTGTACTGTAAGCACTGGTTTCTGATGTTGAGCTTTTATTCCCTCTTTGATGTCTTTGTGTCTGTGCGTTTATGTCCAGTTTTGTTGTTAATTCTGCATACTTTGCAGTTCACATATAGGATACTCATTGAGTAACAACATGATTAGTGTATATTTATATATATACATAGGTGTGCATAGATATACACACATATAGATATGAGCTGTTCACATAAGCACCCACTGAAGCGTAAGTCAGCTCACTTTAGTCACTTATAATTTCCCATGCCACCTGTGTCCATGCAGGATTGGACAGTTTTACAGTTGTTACTCACCCATTACTAACTGGGTAGTTACTCAGCAGCAGCAATAAAGACTCACAACCATGTGACTACAGTTCAGACCTAAATTTACCTCAAAATGGTCTGGTCAAAAGGCTTTTATTTCCTCATCATGGGTTTCAAAGTAACATTTTTGAATGCTACAGAGAAAAAAAGCAGCAAAGATTAATTTCTCTATATCTCCATCACAGAGAGCTTGATGCTGATTCCCTGATATATCTATCTTGGGACAGCTGGGAAGTTGCAGGTCTAAGATTGACTGCATTTGTATGAGTTTGAATAATCACTGATACTTGGTTTGGTGCACAATGACTTGTCAAGACAGAGATTTAGCAAGTTTGGAAGATGACCAGAAAAAAAGCCAAAAGCAACCCACCAGATCTTCCAGATTTTCAGTTTCTAAGATTTAGTAAAATATATTTTATTTCCATCTTCTGCTTCTCAGGTGTTTGGGGTCTGTTTTTCCTCCCATCTGTGAGAGCCACAACTGGTTGATTTTGAATAAAATTTGAGATACCTTCCACTGTGCTTCTAAGCAAACCACCAAATATTGCCAGACTTCAAATTAAAATAAGATTTGACAATACTGCACAGCACGAAAGTGCAGTGCAGTGGGTGATGCAAGGATCATATACTGCTTAAGATGGATACTAAGTTGTGTCTTTTGGAGCAGAATTCACACCTTTTTTTAAAAATCCTTTTAGAATATGTTTCTAGAGTGAACTCTTTGCCCTGAAACAGGTATCTACATGTGAAGGATCCCACATTCTGTCCTACTTTGTTTTCTCTTTATTTCTTTCAACCTTCTTTAATTAAAAAAAGGAGAAGGCAAAACAAAAAAAAAAAAGCTTTGTGGGTTAATTTTTCCATGTCATTTGATTGCATGCATGTTTAGGTGGTGAGTTTAGGTCTGGTGAAGGGTGTTGATTACTTTCTGAGGTGAGCTGGGACCTGTTGGTAAACGCCTTTTGGATGAGGGATTGTGGATGGGGAAGGAGCTTTGCATCTCTACACCTCTGCCTTTACAAAGTGCAAAGCCCTGTGGCTCCATCTCCCTATCCACAAAAATTCTCTCGATGTCTAGCTTTTTCTCTTGCTTCCCTCTTTTGTTTTTTTCTAGGCTGCCGGTGTTAACACCACGGACAAAGAAATTGAGGTTCTCTATATACGGAATGTAACTTTTGAGGATGCTGGGGAGTATACATGCTTGGCGGGTAATTCTATTGGGATATCCTTTCACACTGCATGGTTGACAGTTCTGCCAGGTATACACTGCTCTCTTTCTGTGGTTTTTCCTCTTTGTTTTTTCCTTTGTTGATTGCTGCAGAATTAGCACAGCTTCTGTCTCAAAAAAAAAAAAAAAGGACTTTTACAATGATTTGGGGTTTTTTAAACACAGTTGTCTCAAGCCAGTGAATCATTTTGTTATATATTTGCAACTCTAAAAAGCTAATAATAACAAAAAAAAAGAGGGAGGATTGTAAGGCTATTGCCTTTAATTGAAAACTTTTTACGTCTGTTAAATGTTCATCAGAAATGCTAAGGAACTGCTTTTCCTTAGCACTTCAGTGAGATAACTGAAAATCAGCACATAAATCATTGTAAACTTTTTCAAGAGGATGAAATTCATTTTATTATGAAGTTTGGAACTAAATTGGCCACAGTTGTGTATTGGTTCATTCAAATACCTGAGCTATTCAGTGTGCTTAAATTCATTTTTACCTATCATGCAAATCTCTTATGGAAATTCTGGTTTTAATGCCAGTGGATCTTGTACAGAAGCAGTGCCTTCCATACCTTGGGAATCGGCTCCGTGCATCTTTAAACATTGCATGCTCTAAGAAAACAAGTAGTCATTTGCTTTTACTGCAAAGCATGTCTTGCTGTTCTGGGGTTGATGATGTTTCTGTCCTTAAAAGAAACAAACATCAATGTGCTTTATTGCCTGAAAATTGTTATCAGCTGTTAGAAGATGTAACTGTAGCTGGTTTTGACACTAGTCAAATTTTCTCTTTTATAACTGTTGGCAGCTGCCTCAGGAGTTCCTTTGAAAAACCATGAGTCACCTGAGGTTTGCTGGGTCATCTTGTGCTTAGCATTTATTAACTGCTACTCCTAAGGAAAAGGGACAAAACCTGCATGTGCACATTGCTGAGGTTCATAGTATGGGAGTGAAACATTCTCACTCTCTGCAGATCAATTCTTACCCTTTATTAAAATATATTGAACAAGGCAACTTCATTCCATCTCACTCTTACGTGAGCACGGAGCCTGCATGGTCTGGCACCAAGCAGGCAGAGCAGTGCTTGTGTAGAGCTTGCTTCTGCTAGCAGTGTTTGCATTTGGCAAGTGCTTGAACAGCAGTTTTTAAAACCAATTTTCTTGAGTAAAGTATTTTTATAAGCCTAGAAAGGCCCAAGAAAATTTCAGCTTGACCGTGCATTGCTTGCGGAGTGACCGCTGATTGCTGTGGAATGCTGTTTATCTGGGGGTTGAATCCCAGATAAGGGATTAGGGACAGTGTTTGCACATCTAACTGTCTTGAAGATAATTTCAAAATGGTTTCAATCAGAGTAACAGCTATGTAAAACCACTCCCACTAAAATCTAATCTCATAGACCAGTAACCACTGATGAGGTTACCTGAAAAACTCACTCCTCCCCAAAGAGGACTCGTTAATTAATGTGCTGCTAGTAGTTCATTTTTCACCTGAATAATGCTGTTTAGTCCAGCACTGAGCTGCTCAAAGGACCTCGTGGGAGTTGGGCACTCAGCATGAGGTGCAACAGGTTAAGCAGCTGGGAGCCAGGTCCTTGAAACCCTTTTGAAACCCTTAACCCAAGTTTCTAGACATGATGAGGGACTGATTCATACTCCCTTCCCTCTGTATTTTGAGATCCTACTGAAATCTTGGGTAACCAGGCAATGCAGACTCAAGCCCAAACGTCTATTTGTGAATTTAGACACTTTTCTTTTGACCTAGCTAAATCAATATTTTATTTTTAGATGTGTTTTCATGTTGTTCAAAAGAATTACAGTGCTTTTGATGTTTAACTCAAGTAACAAAATGAAGCTGAGCCTAGTTTGAACCGTTTTTTTTTTTCTCCCTCCAAGTTAAGCTTGATCATCCAATATTTCTATGTATACGTCTAGACAGACGTGTATATGTCAATATATGCATACATAGGTGAACAAGCTAATGCTCAGTGGCAAACTGAGAAGTCAAAGCAGTGATGTGCAAGGGGAATTACTCTCAGATTACAAGATGGCCTAAACCTTCACAGTATTCTGTATGCCACACAGTCACTGCAAGAACTAATGATATTTTACCATTTCAACTTGTTCCAAGCTCTGTACCGAACGATGCCTGTACTGTGTATGCTAACTCTGTGGCATGATTATTCCCTCCTAAAAACCTTCCAATCCAGCTCCTGAGAAAGAAAAAGAATATCCAACATCTCCAGACTACCTGGAAATAGTCATTTACTGCATAGGGGTCTTCTTAATTGCCTGCATGGTGCTGACGGTCGTCCTGTGCCGCATGAAGAACACCACCAAGAAACCAGATTTCAGCAGCCAACCTGCTGTCCACAAGCTGACCAAGCGAATCCCTCTGCGCAGACAGGTAACAGAAAGTAGATAAAGAGTTCAAAAAAACTTTTACCAAACATTTAAGCCAGCACATCCTTCTGAGAAAAGCTTCGGAAAGGGGAAAAACCAAAAAGCGTTATACCAAATTGCAGTAGGGGTTGGGTTTAGCCTGGCACGGGAAGAAAGTACATCTTAGCACAGTGATGTGTGTCTCAAGAAAAGGGAATCAGGGCAGGGCTGTTAGGGGAGAAATGTGAAAAAAAAAGGAGTATGTTCTGTATTAGTAGTCTATAGATGGAAAAAATGTATTTAAAGAATTTTGGGGCCTGATCCCACAGCTTGTTGAAGTCAATGGAAAAACTTTTACTGACTTAATGGACTTTGGAACAGAATCATACTTAATTGTATATTTATAATGTTTCTAAGGTGATTATTATTGTGGTAACTAGGTACCAGATACAGAGAGGTACTTTTCAGGAAGAATTTTGAAGACCAAGGGGAGGGGAATTTTGTAGCCAAGCAGCCAGAGAACACCCCAAAATAGAAAAAAGACTGTAAGAAAGTAAAAATAGGGGAGATACTATATCAGACCTTGGACAGTTTGATTAAGATGCTGATGCTTTTGAGCAAGAAACAAAAGTAAATGTCAGATTTAAAATACACACAACAGCATTGCATGAGTTATGTTTTGCAATTGTTTATGGCTGGCAAGGAGCACCTCTGGAGAGGGCAATGCCACAGGCAACAAACCAGTTGAACGAGTAACAGGACTTTGGCTTTATCACAGGCCATCACTTGCCAAAGCAGCCTCCATTCCCACATACTATCCTTTCCCGAAAGACTTGTGTTTTTAGAAGCTGGAGTTAAGTTAAAGTTCTGATTTTCTTGCAGCAGGTCTTCAGATTAGACCTCTGCACCCACCAAGTCCACCTTCTGCTTTCAGCCTTGCAAGGAGGTGTTGTTGGCATCTGGGGCTGTGGTTCATCTCAGCATTCAAAATAGGGACCAGATCGGGGGCTTGGATCCAGGCTCTGGTCAGGGGGTTTGGATGTGACAGTTCAGTCTACACCATGAATAGGTTGTGCAGATTTTCTGCAGATTGGTTTTACAGCCTGCCCAGAATATTGGCATTGTCAGAGCAATTCATGTACCTTAAAAGTCATTCTTCAGTGTGGTTCAGTGTTTGAAACCAGGTGCGTGAGCACACAAAGTGGGAGATTTTGAACAGTATTACTTTATCTGAACCCTTGTTTCATAGTTTCTGAATTATCTGGGTTAAAAATACCAGGAAGTAGTGATGCTTTAGCCATCTTCCTCTGAAGGGCAGTGTTTGACAGTCTTGAGGGTAGGGGACACGAACTTTGTCCAATCAGAAAAATATTTGATTTATTTTAAGAACAAAAGTGTTTATTCTTACTATTCTTTCTTTGGTTTCTTTTGGTTTTGGTGTTTGGGTTTTTTTTGCGTGTGTGTGTTTTTATTGGCTTTTTGTTTGTTTCTTTTTTTTTTTCAAATTTTATGATTTTACTTGAATATCACTTGGAAGAGGAAGGACTTTTGAATGTGAGTGTATCAGAAAGAGTGATGGGAAGCCCTCAGCTGAATTCACACATCTCTCTGGCTAGAAATCTGTGCAGCTTTCTAGACAAAGAAGGCTTTTCAAATGCTGTATACATAGCCAGAGAGAGATACAGATCAGCTGCTTAGATAGAAGACATTTATTAGATTTCTGCCTGAATATGAAAGGATCATAATGACTCAGAGAGAAGTTGATGGAATAAAAAAATACCTAGGGTTTGGTGTGAGCTCAGATCTCTCTGGCTAGAAATCTGTGCAGCTTTCTAGACAAAGAAGGCTTTTCAAATGCTGTATACATAGCCAGAGAGAGATACAGATCAGCTGCTTAGATAGAAGACATTTATTAGATTTCTGCCTGAATATGAAAGGATCATAATGACTCAGAGAGAAGTTGATGGAATAAAAAAATACCTAGGGTTTGGTGTGAGCTCAGTTGTGTCACTTGAGCTCCTCAG